ATATTTTGAAGAATGCTGGTAATCAAACAGTTGATGGTCCCCATTTCCCTATTATGGAACTGTTTGGTTCTTCAAAATTCTTCAAAATATCTTCTTTTGTGCTCAACATAAGAAAGAAACCTAAACACATTTTTGGGTGAACTATCCCTTTAAAATAACAGATATTTTGAGCTTTTTATGCCATTGCAGTCATTCAAAACCTTTACTCTGAAAAATATATTTTTAAAAAATGCATTGTCATTTTGGTCCTAAACTTTCACTCACCATTGCACGGCCCCTTTTTAAACACAATATCATCGATTGCAATGTCACTCCTTATTGAGGATCCTCTGATAGCTTCAAATATAATCTGCAAACAATTAGGGAGACATAAAACTTTCAGTGACTTTTTACATGCAAAAATGCAACAGTAATATTCACAGCAACGCTCCATCAGTTTCCGGTACCTCAAGTACCATTATCTCAGCGATCAAATGGTTACTTTGATATAAGACATTTTTCAACAACAAAGGGAGTAAGAGTGTGTCTCTAACCCAGTGCCTTGTGTAACACTCGTAATCCACCGTGGCCTTCATCCAGGACACACTTTGTTCTCCTTGTCTTGTCCAAAGCAATCTCTCCCTGTCCCCCTTATGCAGCAGGACGCTTAGAGTTCCTGTGCCTGAGCCATACATGTGGTAGAAGAAGATCAGACACTGAGGTCCAGTTGAACCCCTCAGCTCGGTGGACATGAGCCGGGCCGACTGCTTGGGTAACATGTGAGATGCCTCAATGTACATGTAGTAGCCTTGAAATCAGAGCAGGAAAGACTTAGAGTACACTGTCTCATTACATCAGCAATGTTAATAAAGCATTTCATGCTGAAGCATAAATTTGACTCACCTACCCCTAAGGTGTGGTCACCCTTGGGTCCTGTGTAAGACGTGGGTGTATGTCCCCTGATCCGTAACCAATGTCCTTTTTTAGCTTTCTTTTTCTGGGTATAGCCGCAGTCCCCAGTTTCAAAGTTACAATGTCCAGGAGGTGGATTCAAGGGGCCTAAACAGTGCACAAAAAGTTCCACCATATTAGACTTTGAAATGGTTAAAAGCTTGTCTATTTCTGTCCACCGCAGCCGGCACTGCCCATTTAATGTCTATGTTTGTGAGGGCAGATGTTCTCCATTGCCATGGAATACATGTCTATAAACAGAATATTTAAGAACCTTAGACAAGGGCCTTGCCCATTTCCTAAGCCACATTGTTTAGAACTGACAAGAAACCTCTGCCAAGCGACCTGTAAGTAATACGGTTTACTCTTTATTACAACAATCAACTGCTTAAATCTTTTAAGTCATGGGTTTTACTCCCATAAAAGCAACACAACTGGGTCAAACACTGTGTTATCGTTTGGACAATTCTAAATATGGGGACAGTTTTAGACAAGCCCATGAAAGTCAGAGAAACAAATACCTATCCATGCAAAACATTTCTTCATGCTTATTTGAATAGAAAAGCACACATGATATTTTAGTTGTTCTCCATTTAAATGAGCATCTGGAAATATGCACACAATAAATTAATTTATCAACTAATCCAACAAAATTCAGACAGTGAATGTTTCTTATAGCTCCTCTATGATAAAACCACTGCTCTTTGAGTGTGAGTTTTAGTATAGTGTTTAACTGATTTTTATTTCAGTTTCGTTTTAGTGATTTTAGTACTTAGAACTTCAGTTAAAACTTGTTTTATTTCATTTAGTTGCAAAGTCAAAAATTTAAAAAATTTATATTTTATTTAAGGTTTTTATAAAT